CCTGAGACGGCCAAGATGAAGGTGCTGGCGGGCCTGGTGTGGGGCGAGGGCTGCTCTCTGCCCTGCCCGCTGCCCTGCCCGCAGAACAGCCCCCAGTGTGTGCTCGCGGGATGGAAGGTGGGAAGACGACCAGCGACCTGCTGGTTCCCTCCGGCCTTCTGCTCAGGAGCAGGGAGCCCCGTGGCCTCATCACTCCAGAAGTCCCCACCTCTCATGAGGTCTCAGGGTCTAACAAGTGGATTTGGGGCGACATACATTCACGTCATAGCAATGTGTGTGGATGCCCCGGCCTGCACGTTCCAACCCCCAGTAGCTACCCCTTGGGTGCCCTTTGGCACTAGAGGTGTGTGCCCCTGTCACTTTGACTGCCCTCTGGACAATGCACCTGGGGAAGAGACCTGGGACCCTTGGGCAGGGGTCCGGGGGCCCACGGGGCTGGCACATGGTCTAGAGCAGAGGCAGTGGCTCTGAGTTGACAAAGCCCTTCAGCTGGTTGTCTCAGCCCAGGGAAGGAGGGTCCTCAGAGGAGGGGCAGAGGGGCCTTTCCAAGTCCTAGGGCAGGAGGCAGGTCGCCTAGCATTCAGAGAGAGTGATTAAAACTGCCCCTGCATTGGCAAAGGTGCCTGGTCTGGACAGCGAATTACATGTCAACCTGAGCAAGAGTCCTGTCAACCGTGATCTTTCCCTCTCGGTGGCTCCCTGACCTGGAAGACGGGAAGAAGTGTGACAGAGAGCTGCTCGCCCTGCTCCTCGTACGCCTCTGAGCACGTGGACTGCCCCCCATCCGGTTAGAAGTGGCCACGTGACTTGCTCTGACCAGCGTCAGCGAGTGTTGGGGCACGGGCCGTTTTGAGGAGGCAGCGTTTGCCCGCCTGTGTCAGGTCTCCCGTGGATTTGGTGGATGCAGGGCGCGCGTGCTGAGCCCCCAGCACTGCTGCTGTGGACGCTTGCCCAGACGGCAGGGTCAGAGTTGTCACTACAGCCCAGCCTGGCGTGTCCCCTCCTCTTACAGACGCCAGCTCCTCGGCTGTGTGGGGGCTATGCGGGAAGGTGTGTACAGCCTGGCACCTGGGCCAGCGTTTACCACGGAGAGACGGAGTGCTCTCGCTCGCCGCCCAACCCCAACTCGCCCTCGAGGCAGGAAGGCGGCGACCCTCCGTCTGTCCGCCTTTGCTGTGGCTCTGTGGGCAGCCCACGCTATCTTCTACTTCACGTGAGAAATGAGGGCGGCCCTCCGAGCACACGGCAGTGGGAGGCGTCATGCCTAGGGTAGGGTCCCACGGGCCCTGGGCTGACCAGAACTGGCAACAGGGTGGCTTCCTGGGGCCAGCCCACGTCCGTGTACACTCCGGCCATACGTTCTGAGGACACACCCCTCCAGGGCTCGCGGATTTACTGTCAGCATGAGCCAGAGCAGTGGCATTGGCACACGCTGGCTTTTAGTGGGAAATCCTAGCGTTGTAAACCCGTTTGAAGACTGGGGAGAGCCAGGCTGCAATTGCACATTCTTGGAGGAGGCCAAGATTTTATGTAAAAGGTGGCAAAACATACCAAGAGAGGCTGGAAACAGAACCCGGCTGGCCATTCACGACACGCTCCAGAGATTTCCACCCCGGCACGAACAAGTAGCCACGTGGCTACCGTTGGCCAGGCACGTCTGAACAGACACGGCTGAGCTGTCTGCTAACGGGACCCCAGTCTTCCGAGCAGGTGAAGAAAACCTTCAGGTGCTGCGGAGTTTCTAGCCACATTTTGTTACAAACGAATGCATCCGAAAACCTACCGTGAAGACGGGCTCGTGTTCCGTAAATGTGTGCTCGTGTTCCGCTCAGACAGACTGCGGCTCCCAGCCATTAGGGTTCTGTCACACTAGCCATTAGATAATGCCTTGTGACATTACAGTATTTCCCACTACAGATCAATTTTGTAGCATTTGCTTGTAATCAGAGTTGAAATGTTACCTAGAAACAAAATATGTTTTCCTTGAAACAGTCAGACCTTATTAGAAATCTAAGGCTTTCGAAACCACCATGTTAACAGCTGTGTCCCCTAGCTAAGGGTTTCTTCCTTTAAATAGTGCTAAATTCAGCCCAGAAGCTCTAGTCTCTCGGAGGATTACTCTTCATATGTGCACTGACTTGAAAGGAAAACTCCATGCTCCAAATACATTAAGCCTCTTACTATGTGCAACTTATTAAGTCACCCAATATTCCTTTTGGGGAAAAACATAATGTTAGCACCTCTAAAAGTGCTTCTTACAATTAGGTTACACAATATGGTTTTCTTATACAACGTTGTCTTACATGCTATCGTTTTATTTATGAAACAAAGGTTCTCGCTGCTTCAGGACCACGTCAGCCGCCTTCCAGGTACAAGGAGGCATCCTCGTTTCCTGACCACGGAATCATGGGGGGGGAGAGGGGACAAAGAGAAATGGGAGCTCCGCAGACGCAAGCCGTACAGCACGACGTCGAGCAGAGGCCCTGAGCGCTGGCTGCCGTTAAGCACCGAGGAATCGGGAGATGCGTAACGTCCCATTCCGCAAGTGCGACGGTTTTTATGTTTAAATCCCCTTTCATTGAAGCTACCAGCCCTCTCGCTCATTCCACAAATAACGACTGAGCACTTGCTGTGTGCTAGATGCCATGGTTCCGGGCTTGGCAACAAGCAGTCGGGCGGGCCAGGCCGCTGTTCGGTGCTGTGTCCGGTTAGAGAGGCGGGTGTGCAGTAGGCTGAGTGGTGGCCCCCCCAAGAGGTAAGAGTTGGCTCCCGGCCCTCCGGGACCCGCGAACATGACCTTATTTGGAAAGACGGTCTTTGCAGATGTCGTTAAAGCCCATGCGATGAGACCACCCTGGGTTGTAGACAAGCCCTACATCCAGTGACAAGTGTCCTGGTAAGAGGCACACAGAGAGACGCAGAGAAGGCAGAGGCGGAGATAGGTATGCCAGGACCACAGCTAAGTAGCTCCCAGGCTCCCAGAGGCCCTGGAGGGAGCACCGGCCCCGACACCTGGCTTTCAGACCCAGCCCCGGTGCAGTGCATCCCTGGCGGTGACCTCCTGGGCCGTGGCGATCTGCAGCGGCGGTAGAAAACAGATCTGACCGTGGGCGGTGCACACCAAGAACATGAAACGGATGGGATGGGGCCAGTGGGCTACTTGTGTGGTCTGAAAATCCTCACTGAGGAGGCGACAGGAGTTACCTGAGAAAAAGGGATAGTGTCCTATATCTGAGGGGACAGCCAGGGCCGGAGGCCAACCTGGGAAAGACCTCGGCGCGTCTGATGACCAGAACGTCAGTGAGGCTGGAATGTGGAGGGGACAGGGCGAGTGGTGAGGAGGTGATACCGAGGTGGGTGGGAGCAGATGCCGTGGGGCCCCAGTGGCCCTGGGAGGACTGGGGTCTCCCAGGTGGACCCCATCTCAGAAAGACGGCACAGACGGGCAGGAGCACGGATGCTTCCTTAGTAAATGTGAGCACAGCCTGAGCGCTTTAGTCCGTTAAAAACCACAGCCTTTACCCGTTCTCAGAACCCCCTGCCCTCGTGTAATTCTTTATGAGTAACAGTGTCACAAATCCTGAGGTCAGACAGCACAGGACGCAGTGGGAATCTCAGGGGGTCCTTTATTTCCTTCGCTTTCATTTCACAAGGTGAAATTTCAACCTGCCCAGATTATTTCTGCCAGTTCCGGCAATGGCTGAGACCCCCTGTCCCACTTCCAAGGCGGAAGCCATCCCCGACGAGGTCCGAGGGCTGTGGAGACCCCGGGCTGGTCAGGGCCCGCCCGAGAGCCCCAGCATGGTGTGCCAGGATCCCACCGCCTCGTTCCAATCAGGGATGGGCAGAGGTGGG